ATAACTTTTAAGAAGGAATTTTAAAGCATTAAATATTCTATGTCAATGGTCTGGTGAAACACTTATCTTGAGAAAAGAGCACTTGGATCTTTTGGATGAATTGGTTGTAGTAGTTGTCCCAACTATTTCTATGAGAAGGAAGTATCTTTACAAAGCAATGTGATTAGAGGTTAGGATTTCCTGAGTATCCTATAATGAAAATTTGTCTTGTTTTTCTTTTTGTCCTATAGCAATGCACTACACCACTCTAAATAATTCTATCCATGAGTGCTGTATTAATTTTGGTCATTGCATTTATGGACCAGATAGGCAAGCCATCATTTCTGCCAAGACACGTATCTTAAAAGAAATGGCATAAAATATTTTATAAATATCTCACTCAATTCTCCGTTTACTTTCTTCAAATACTAATCTGGATTCTCCCTTTACTTGTTTCAAATACCCTGGAGTTTTATAGCTAGAGATACTCATCTCCATAAACAAATATATTTTCCATAGTTGGCCAATTTATTTTAAATATTTTAGAAAAAGGACTCTGAGCTTTAAGCATATGCTTACTTTGTCATAGAAGCTATGACAGATGGAAGTTCTTTTATCTGTAAAGTGGGGGTGGTGATAACATCTGAACCAGATGGCTATTGTGAGGATGCAATGTGATAACATAGGAAACGGCACTTCATAAACTATATGGCATAATACGTGCATTAATTGTAATAATATTTATACTCCAGAAATAAACAGTCCAAACTGTACGCATTTTATGGTTCAAATAATGAACACAGACACCCACATAGTATAACACAAATATGAAATTGTTATTTCAAATATGAGACATGAGCTTGTTATACAAGCTCAAGGGTTAATAGCAGCATGATGACAAATTAGACAACAAAAGTTTTGAAATCAAGTGAATACATTCACTGCGTCTATTATTATGCTGGCCAGAGAGAAGTGAAAAGTCAACAGCTTCAATCTTTTACTTAACAGATGCAAATAAAACCACAACTCAGGCTTAGGAGTCATTTTTTTTTTTTATTTAGTTATTAAGTGTAAATTTATCTTCTTGGAACTTAAAATGATGTGTTTGCAGATTATGTTGGGCAAATTGGCAATACTTAAAATAGAGTGGCACTAAATAATGAGCATTTCTCTCTCACAGAATAACAAATGGTGGGTTATAGGGCCATAAAAAATGTAATAGCTGTTAACAATTACTGCCCCCACTAACCTGACTGGAGAGCTAATGATGAAACCGAGTTGGCAGGCAAGAATATAGCAGGCTATTTTGAGATTATTATTTGTCTATCCAGGGCAGTAGCAGGATGCTGGTTTGGGGAACAGAAAGTTGATGAAGTTCAGGATATGGAACAGGAAATGGGAGAACATTTCATTCTTGCCTGCCCTGAGAGGACTGTGGGTGGAGGTAGAAGGAGGTGTAGGTAAAAAATCTAGGTACAAAGTAATTATAGAGTCAGATTGGAGAGACAATCCCACTTATATTTTCCTGTTTTTTTTTTTTCCTTTCCAGATGAGACTCCAACCAACAATTCACAGCTTGGTAAGATAATTAACATATATTGAAAATAAAAGTGGTATTAGAAAAACTGGCGATCAGGTCACAAACTGTAATCAACTAAATGTAATGAATTTTACAAGTTTGTTACATTTTAAATAACAGCTGGCTCAGCGCCTGTGGCTCAAGCGGCTAAGGCGCCAGCCACATACACCTAAGGTGGCAGGTTCAAATCCAGCCTGGGCCTGCCAAACAACAATGACGGCTGCAACCAAAAATAGCCAGGTGCTGTGGTGGGCGCCTGTGGTCCCAGCTACTTGG